TATTTAATTTTACGTAGTTGAGATATGTATACGAATGAAGGCACCAGCCATACCAATAACCTGAAGTTTGCAGAATGGACAACAGAAGCACAGTATTTTCTTCAGTATTTTTATTTCAACTTAGTTTCTGGAAGGAACAGTGCAGGGAAGGTGGAACATCACCGCAGGTATCACAGCAAAAGTAACACTTGGTAGATCAAGATACGGGCCAACATAACTGACAACCTGATATCCAACTTTTGACCTCTTCTTCCAAACCCAGCTCCTTTGGTAATTCAAGTCTCGCTTTTTATGGCAAAGAAATTGTACAGAAGCTGCCATGCTCTGTGTGCCTTAAACCCACTCATGAATTTGGCACCTTTCCATTCCACCACTCTTGATCCATTGCTTTCTGAATGATGAAGAACTAAGCTAAACTGGTTCTACTTTACTTTGAAAGCAGACAGCACCTAAACGAGCATAAATAACAGACAGGAACAGTACAACATCTTAGTACTTGAGCTGATAGACTATGCTCCCTGCTGTTTGAGTCTGCTTGTTTTTGTGATAAAATAGTACTTGCCTTTTTTAAAAAAGGTGCCATTCTTTAAGAAAACCAAAATTCACACCAGCATTCATGGCTTAAAAATAGCAAGTTAAGGAAACTCAATATTTCTCTAGTAGGGTACACTATTCATCCATTTCTCATTATTTCTGAGCATTATAAATAATGCCAGTCCAACCAAGGCTTCTGTACAAGGATTTCTGGCTGGGAATGTCAGAATAAGGATGCCAACTATCTGCATTTCATTGCTCGGAGTGGGATGAGCATTTGAGTTTGCCATTTTTGGGCACAGTGGCCCATAAATTCAACTAGTACTTTCCAGAAATTCCATCCGGATCTACATTTTCACATAACAAGCTGCTTTTTAACAGCTTTATTTATATGCAGCTAGAACTGGATTGAGATGATACAATATGCCTAGTGTTGTTGATGTAGCTGTTAGGAATTCTGCATGACACAAAAGCCTGCACCAACATACTGGTCTCGCATGCTCTACAGGGAGGCATCTGAACAGCAGCTCCTTCTGCTCTGCATTTAGCACCCGAACAGAAAACTGAAAGCAAATAAAGCCTGCAAAATACAGGAACTACTTTGATCAGTCACTGCACTATTGTAGCCATGAGGTTCTCTGGCCCACACAAGAAAGAACTAGCTACAGCCTGTGTGGTGCAGATGGGCAAAGACAGGCAAGACATCGCCACTAATTATAAGGTTGTATCCTACTTATTTTTATGTATGCACGTTTCAGTGTTTTCTGTAAGTAAAACATAAATGTCTGCTACATTTTACCTAAGTAATCCCAACAACACTACCATGAATTGGCACTGTCCTGCTGATGGCAGAACTCTCCTGTACGAGGGGTCTTCCATCAGTGAAAGGCTCCTCGCAAAACAGGAGAACTCCATCATTAGCAGCATGGAGTCATAAGACCTCACTCTCTGTTATGGGTGAGGCCAGTAAATTAATGCCTTAGCTGAGATTTGAAACAGAGATTTGTTGGTTTATAAATACAAATCCACCAGTCCAAAGCCACAAAATGGATACGTTCTTATAGAATGCTCCTCAATACAACTGATAGACTGAATCAGTCATTGATACATTATAATAAAGTTTGTAACCTACAAATAACAAGCAGGGACCCAAAGGAATTGTGGGGGATCACTTCATTTCCCCGTTTCCCATTTCTCAAACTACATCCTCCTCCTCCTCTTCTCCAGGCAGCCCCCATATCTTCTCCCCTTTCCCTGCTTCCTTCTCTCCCTCCCACACACAAACCAAACTTTCTTTTATCTGCTCCCCCACCCTTCATCTGCTTCTCTCTACTGGAGTCTTCCGCCAGCAGGTGAAGACTTTGTTTCGCATATCCTCAATAACAGTTATTGGCCCTCCTCCCTGGTTCTGATGTTATGTGTTTTAACTGAATTACATTATAATTTTTAATGTTGCTTTTAATTCTTCAAATGTTTTTATGTGCATCGCCTTGGGGACCCTGATTGGGTGGAAAGGCGGTGCTAAAATGTTATAAATAGATAAATCTTCACCATTATTTATTTACTTAATTTATCTCCCACCTTTCTCTCAACAGGGATCCAAGGCAGCTTATGTAATTTTATTTTCCTCCATTTTATTGCTGTTAAGAACCCTGTAAAACAGATTAAGCTGCCAGAGAGAGTGATTGGCCCAAGGTCACCCAGCAAGCTTCCATGGCAGAGTGGGGATCTGAACCTGAATCTCCCAGATCCTAGTTTGGCACTATAAGCACTACACCACACTGGCTCTCAGCTTCCTCTGAGAGCCACCCTGCTACTTGAGATTCTCTTAACTGGAGATGCCAAAGACTGAAAAAGAAGTGTTCTACCACCGAGCCCCAGTCTCTGTTTATTGGCCCCGGTCACACAGGCCGGAAAATGTGGGGGGAAGCGTGGCTGTTTGCCCCGGAGCAAACTAACGCACGGCCGCCGGATCACACGTCCCGCCGATGTCCCGTGGTTCGGGGGGAGGTGCCAATCACACGACAATCCTGCGGCGCAGCAAAGAAGCGGCGCGGCGCAATCACAGCAGCAATGGCTAGGCGCCGCTGCCGTGGCAAACAGGGTTGTTTTTTTAAAAAAACCCGAATTGTGCGCATGCGCCATTGGGTGCTTGTGCACATCCCGTGGAGACTTGAGAAAAAAACCTTTTTGCGACGGGACATGGGTGGGTGCCGGATGCCTCAGAGGTACTAGTTTTTTACACCGCATCTTTGGCGGGAAGCCTTGGGTTAGCCACAGGAGCTCTACGCTTCCCAGATGTGGTGCTGTGATCGCGCCCAGAAAATCCGCCTATCTTCCGTCTCTGTAGCGTGGCTAATGCTCCATGGTTGCCCTTCCCCGGTTTTCTCCTCACAAGAACCGTGTGGGGTGGGTTAAGCTGCAAAAGTGTGACTGGCCCAAGTGCAGCCAACAAAGCTCCACTGTAAAGTGAGGATTACCACTGTAATCAGGTAAGTAGTCATCATCAACATTTATTACTATCGAAGATCAGCTAAGAGGTAAGTATTTGTTAGTTTGCAATAGTAAGGGGGGGGGAATTAAGTCCACTAGCATCTTAAAGCCAACAATTTTCCCCAGGGTATAAGCTTCTTGAGTCAACTATTTGAACCTGAAGTTCTACACTAGCCCCTATACCACACTGGCATTGTGTCTAGCTAAAGTATCTCTTGCTAAGAGCCATCCTTTAGAGATCCATCCTTTGAAACATCTAATGGGACCCGTATAGCCCAGGCTGGCCCAACCTCGTCAGATCTCACAACTATCTAACAGACACATACCTATTTAAACCAGAGCTAATTTTAAATCAGAGGTAGCGTAAATTTATATAATGCACCAATTACCACTAACCAGTTCAAATGTCCACAGTGTTTTCTAATGCGTTAAATATTAACAGAACAATCTGAAAGAAAGAACCCAAAGGACCTGCGGCTTGCATGAGGCATAAATTAGCATTCCATCCAATCTCCCCCCCCCAAAAAAAAATATGGCAAGCAACCAACGTCTGTTGAGCCCCCTTATCCCTAAACACATTTACTTAAAACCAACAGAACTTCCACTTGAAACCCATTCAGGATTACAATTTAACTATTCAATCCTGAACATAAACACAGGACAGCAAGGTCCTGCTTCTAGGAAAAGCATGTTCAGGACGGTTTGCTTTTAAAGTTCTTTTGGCACTTTCACCTTACCCGGATTTTGGACTGAGTGCACTGCCATCAAGACCTTTTACAATGTGCTGTGTGTGTAAGAGAGAGAAATGAGTCATCGCTGGTTCCTATTCCGTGGAACTGATGATTCATCCATTCAGTCATCATCTCCGGGCCACATTAACAAGCAAAACACACGTGGGTTGTAATCCACAAACCACTTTATACCCCAGTGCTCCTCAACCTGAAACATCAGCTTCGGCCAGATTCGGTTATGACTCTTTGCAAAGGAAACCACCTTTGAATTCTTTCTACTCCACCCGTCGTCCCCCCCCCCCACGCCAAATACGTGCCTATATTTCTTCCATGAGGCAAGTGCCAGGGTAGAAGCATTACACATCCAATGAGACAGACAAGGTTTTAGCCCCCCCCCCACGCCATTAGAACTGCCCCTTCCTTCACACAGGAAACCAGGTGCAAGACCGGCCTGACAGTTTCACTTGTGAGATCCGACAGATGTGCGTGTGTGTATTGCACTGGCCCATCACAACTATAAATACCGAGGGAGCAACGCACAAGGGAGCGTGAACACCTCCTCTCGCCACATCCACGACTTGCGTCGTTCCTCCATCTCCTCCTCCTGTGACATCTTATATAATAATGATCCCAGCTAATCAAAAGCGGAAGCCGAGCCAGCCGCCTTTAGAGGGCTGAGCTGGAAATCATTTCCCTTCGGAACAGATGCTCCGGACAAGAGACCTCGCGCTCTCGCCGAACTAGTGACACGACATCGGGCGATCTTGTTAGAAAAATCGGAAACGGAAGAAGCGACGCAGCAGCCAAAAACAAAAAAACCCAACCCGCACCCGCCCGGTACCTGAGAGGATGGGATGCTGCTGCCCGCGCTCTCCCTTCCTCCATTACGAAGCTTACACCAAAAGCCGGGTCTTTGGGGGGATCTTCCCCCCGCTTTTCGGGTGATCCTCGCCCACTTGAAGCAGGCCCCTTCATTAAGGCGGTGGCGGGGGGGGGGAGCATCTAAGAGGAGAAAGTTAACTCTCTGCACCCGTCCTTTGAGGAGCCCCCTTCCAAGCAAGCAAACGGAGCCAGCCCGTCTTTGCCCCTGCAGCAAGGCACGATTCGGCAGCCAGCACGTCAAGCAACTTGTTATCACAGCCGAGAGCCGCTCTCGGCCACCATCCCTTCTCTCTCCCCCCCCCCCCCCCCCCCCAACTTTCCAGAAGGGTGAGGCGGCATCGGGGCGGACGGGTCCCTTACCTTCTCCCGAACAGCCCAGAGGGAGCGCCCCGGGGACGCCGCGCGGGAGTTAGGCTATGTTGCAAGGAGCAGCGAGGTGCGTTTTCAGCTGCTGTTCAGCTGCTGACAGGAGTTCCGCGCGAGGTGGGGGGGAAGGGAGGGAGGAGGCTGTGGAGAGTCTAGCGAGAGAAGGAAGGCTCGGCGAGCGGAGCGGTGCAGGGGGGCGGAGGACTTTCTCGGGGCTGGTTGTTTACGCACTGCTGCCCTGCTCGGTGCACGCAAGTCAGGCCGCTGATTGGACACAAACTGGGGCACAGCCTTTCGCTGCCCGGCGGCCCGCCCGCCCTCGCGTCTCACAGTCATGGTGCCCCAGAGCCCCCCGGAGGGAATAGCGGCGGCAGGCTAGCAAGTTTGCTCTGCGAAGGGAGACGCGGCGGCTCCCCGGCTGGCCTCGACGGCGGCCGCGCGCGCGCGCACAGCCAAGCCAATCGTGTGGCGAACGCCGCCACCGCCGCGCGCGCCCTGGCTCAGCAAGCCTTCAGCCTCCAGTAGCCGCTTCAGTTGCTTTTTTTTAACCCTTCCTAGCCCTGCAAACGCGCCGCCTGGGCTTCAGAAGAAAGAGCATGTGTGCACATGCTCATTGAGCCTCAGTGAAGTCGGAGTGAAGCTGTTGCCCTCACTTTTGCTTTGCCCTTCCCGTTGCCAAGAACGCTTAGCCATAAATGCACGAAGAGGGCTCTGTGAAGGCAGCGCAGTCCCCAATAAAGGCCAATATTCCATACTGGAAAAAAATAAATACAAATTAAAAATAAAAAAAATGCGTATAACGCACTGGAGTTCTCAAAACCCCAATTTCTCCCCAGTAAACAGTTTGCAAGGACGTGCTGCCGTTTGTGTCCTTTACTCTTACATAGCAAATGCCGATTGGGGAAAAGGAAGGAAGGACTAAAAGGAAGGACAGGATTGCCCATTGGAAACAATGGGACAGACTTGAAGGCCTATTGGAAATAATGGGAGAAAGGAATGCCAATTGACTTGCATGGACTCCATTAAAATACATTACAGCTCAAGAAGAGTTGCAAAAAAAAAAATGCGGAATGGAATTTCCATTAAGGTCTTTGGTCCCAAATACACTGGACACATGACAGGCCCCACAGTGGAATTACAGCCTCTGGGGGTAGCAGGGGTGTTATGGGACTGGAATGACAGGCCCCAGAGTGGAATGACAGCCCCTGGGGGTAGCAGGGGTCTTCTGGGACTGGAATTACAGGCCCCACAGTGGAATGACAGCCCCTGGGGGTAGCAGGAGTCTTCTGGAACTGGAATGACAGGCCCCAGAGTGGAATGACAACCCCTGGGGGTAGAAGGAGTGTTCTGGAACTGGAATGACAGGCCCCATAGATGAATGAAAGCTGTTGGTGGGAGCAGGAGTGTTCTTGGACTAGAATGACAGGCCCCAGAGTGGAATTACAGTCCCTGGGGGTAGCAGGAGTCTTCTGGGACTGGAATGACAGGCCCCAGAGTGGAATGACAGCCCCTGGGGGTAGCAGGAGTCTTCTTGGACTAGAATGACAGGCCCCAGAGTGGAATGACAGCCCCTGGGGGTAGCAGGAGTCTTCTGGGACTGGAATGACAGGCCCCAGAGTGGAATGACAGTCCCTGGGTGTAGCAGGAGTCTTCTTGGACTAGAATGACAGGCCCCAGAGTGGAATGACAGCCCCTGGGGGTAGGAGGAATCTTTTGGGACTGGAATGACAGGCCCCAGAGTGGAATGACAGCCCCTGGGGGTAGCAGGAGTGTTCTGGAACTGGAATGACAGGCCCCAGAGACTAATGAAAGCTCTTGGTGGGAGCAGGAGTGTTCTTGGACTAGAATGACAGGCCCCAGAGTGGAACGACAGCCCCTGGGGGTAGCAGGAGTGTTCTTCCGTAGGGGCCATACCTCACCCCCAAATGGAGTCAGAGGGAGAAAGACCTCACCTCCTTAGCTCTGTGCCAGGTTTGGTCAGGTGCCTCGTTTCCACACAGGGCTTGGGCTTGGAAATGCTGCATGGGATTTTGCTTGGCAGGGTCAAGTACATCCTTCCTCAGGCAGGACAGAGTAGCTCCAATGTCATCAGCCCACTGGGACTATTCGTGGTGGACTTAATGGCCACCCCCATCCCCCCAGTTCACCAGATGTAACTAGGGATGCTGTGAATGTCAAGTCGAACTTACCCTGTTTCACTGTGCCTATTGGACATTAGGCCATCACCAGGACTGTCTGGTTTGGCACTGACCAACTGGAATGCCTGCAGAACAGGTTCATCTTAGTAGACCTTAGTAACACAAATGGCTGTTGGGCTTGCTTCCATTGGCAGCATATATTTTTTTTGCACTGGCCCAGGTATTTTTGAAACAGGGCAAGTGTGAAAAACGCTGCCAATCCAAACAGCTCGGCAGCGATTATTGCTACCAAGAACTGCTAAGATGAATGGCCGACAGTATATGTAAGCTGATTTTACTGCCTCCCTTTTATTCCTAATCCTTCTTTGTGCATCAAGTCAGGCAGGCTATAAAAGCAATTAGAATCATCACTGGATACTATGTTCCTCTTACCCCAGAAACTTACCTACTCAATCTTTGGAATGTTCCCAATATCCCTAAAATTAGAAGAGAATTTATTTCAATCTTCATGGTAGCAGTGAAGACGGTCATAGACAATACTTGGAAAAGTACAAATAATTTGACTCTCTTTCACTATGGTATAGTAAACTCTGGGAGTTATATTCTATAGACAAGTTATCAGATAAGGTTTCTACTTTCTCAACTCAGTATGGGCACTCTAACTTCCAGTTAAAATGGTTTCCCTTTCTAGAATATACTTTCAATAATGAATCATCCAAATCTGTTCAGGTTCCAAAGAAATATTATGATATAGTTCATATGATGTAATACCAGAAGGTCCATTTTTGGTTGTAATTGGTTAAGAAAATAGCCTTTATGATTGTTTTGTTGTTGTTTTTTCTCTCCTTTTTCTTGTTGATTGTATTTAACTCACAATTACTTTAGAGTTATGTTGTTGCAAAGTTATATATTATAAAACTAAAATAAAAATTTATATTTAAAAAAAAAGTCAGGCAGGCTATAAATGAAATAAAAGCGAGCAATGATGGAAGTGATCTGAGAGCACCTGGAGTTGCACATTTCCCCTTCCATAGTCCCCCCCTCTTCTGCACTGAGCCCCCAATCTGCACTGAGTGTATCCTATCATAGGCATTACCTGAGCTGTGAATCACCTTACACTCAATGAAACGAAATTGGTAGATCGATGCATCAATCGAGACAAGCAGGGTGCTTCAGATTTCAGTCTAAAGCCATCCACTCAAGGAAGAAGGCAGGCGCTAGAATGGGCCAATATTTCTTGCTTTTAACAAAGGGGGGGAGGCTGCAAGACAAAGCTATGGATGGAAGAAAGAAGCGCTTTGAGCTCTGTCTTGCAAGGATCTTCTCTCTTTCTCGAATTTTGTCCCGCTCGCTCTTACCCCCCCCCCCAAGGGAGACACAATCCTTTAGCCATTGGACCCTACTGCGGTACAGCAGCCAAAGGCAGCTCATCACATCTGGGGAGTGGGGATGCGGGGTCAGGAAGCCCTCCCACGGGAGTCAAGCCTCACCTCGCTCTAGCCGGATGGGATGAAGACGGGCTGGAGGCAGTCCCAAGGTGCGACTCCCCCCCTTCTCCCAGCTACCAGAGACCACTGGGCCACCCTTGCCCCGCCACCACACGGTCCTCGCTGCAGCCATAGCCAGGACCCCTGGCAGGCAGGCAGGCAAGCCCCGACACCCCCACCCCTCGGTTCACCACATGCAGAGATGGGATGGGGGGGTTTACAGGCAGCCCGGCCAGGAGACGGCTTGGCAAGGCTGGCCAATCCCAACGCGGTGCAAAGACAGCGAGGCTCGACGCTTTCGAAACCCCCCCGCCAGGCCTTCCTCCTGGCGACTCAAGGCGCGCGCGAGAAACCAGGCTCAGCCGAGCCCGCCCCCCTTCCGAAGCCCGGACCGAATTCCCCCGAGGCCAGAAGAGCTGACGGCAGGGAGAGAGAGGGATGCAGATGCAAACGGGAGGAGGAGGAGGAGGAGGAAACGGGGCGAGGGAGGGCGCGACCCGGGGAGGGCCCCCCCGAAATCCACACCGTGAAAGGGGGTGGTGGAGGAAGCTCTGGTCGCAGGTTTGGGGGAGCGGCGTCTTTTCCCCCACCCCAAACTTTTATTTTCAGTTTTCTAACATTATTAACATTCCAACTATACAGTTTTCATTCACTTACGATAGAGTCTTATACATTCGATACATTTTCTATCCATTCATACACCTTTATCCACCTCTTATGAGGAGGAGCGGCGTCTTGAAGCGCACTCCTCGGATAAAAGAAGAGTTTTTTTTGGTGGGGGACAGGGTCCTGCCAGGCGAACCGAGGGAGCGCAGCAAGGGCAACGCGGGAAGCGAAAGGCCAACTGGGAGCTTTGCCAAGGCGAAGGGTGGCCAGGTCCGCCTTCGTCCCAGCCGGGTGCCATGGGGAGGCGTCCCCAAAGAAGAGAAGGCAGGGAGGGGAACTTGCCCGCCCCGACCTCGAGCGGCACCCCCCTCCCCTCCGGGAACATTGAAAGGGACCGGCGGCGCCGTTGGCCACTAGGAGTCGAAGGCAACCGCCCCGGGGCCTCAGGGAGGCAGGGAACCTTTCGCCCCCGCCCCACAGCCGCAGACGGCCATAACTCTATACAGGACGCCTTCCCAGGGCTGGGGGAGCCGGACTGACCTCTCGCGTCTGACATCACACCCCCACAGCCATCTGGGTCCCTCCCTCCCTCCCTCCCAGTCCAGAAAAACCGCGAATGCCCTCCTGGCTACTAGCGAAGTTTCGGGACCCCCGTGGCGGGGTGGGAGAGCCCACCGGACCGGAAGGGACCAGATGCCGCCTCAGGAGTTCGCCTAGGGATTCTCCAGCTGGGTCTTACAACTGATAGACAACTTAAAAACTGATAAATCACCAGGCCCAGATGGCATACATCCGAGAGTTCTAAAAGAACTCAAATGTGAACTTGTGGACACCAGGCCCAGATGGCATACATCCAAGAGTTCTGAAAGAACTCAATTGTGAACTTGTGGATCTCCTGACAAAG